AACAGCAGAAAAGTAAGAGTAATTCTTTATCACCATCTAATGGGCTCTTGCCTTCACAGAAACCTGAGAGATTTCACCATGTTCCCTCTGTGCCTCTCTGATCGATCACCAGCTTTTTTCTTTCTCTTTGCCTTTTTGCTCCTTCCCCTCAAGTCCATTCAGCTGTTTTTCCTAGTGAGAAGCAGCCCAAAGCTGGCCAGGCCTGATTTGAAAGTTCTTTTTGTTGCTCCTCCCCCTTTCATTATGTGACCAGTTGCTGGATCTGCTCCCTGAGGATTTCCACAGGTCTTACCTCTGTCCACCAGGGAGGAAATGAGTAGAAAGTGAAAAAGTAAAATACTATTAATAACCATACCTTTGTTTCTGTAAGTCACAGGCAGGCTTCTGCAATGGGAAAGCTTTCTTGCCTCTCAGTCTGCTCACTCCCATTCAAAATGGCTGCAATGGATCACATTGGCTGCCCCAAATCATAAGTCATCTCCTTTTTTGCATCTGTTCAAATTTTTCTCCTGGTAAGCACTCGATCCACTTATTTATCCCTTTATCTGAAGCTCAGAGTTCCAGGACCATCCTCTGAATCTGTTTCATCTGGATTTCCATATTTTTGCTGAAGATGATCTACATAGCATTTCTGCCTAGTCCATAATCCCTTGCAAGACACTTTGAATGTGTCTTCATATCTCATTTCTGGAGTTAATTTTTTTTTATTTATTACCTTTAATCCTGGAGGAGATCTTCTGGAAGGCGAGGATAGGATCTGGGGAATGGAGCAGCAAGGGACAAGGTTGGCCCTTATGCATTCTAGACTGAGCACTTAATTTAATGTTATGGACTAGAAGGAATCAGACGCTTTGCTGGACTCATCCATTTGATTTAGAAGAAACTGACCTGAAGTTCACCTCTGCTGAAAGGTCTTGTGTCAACAGGCAGCCAGGTGGGTCTGCTCATACTCACACTGCTTTTAAACAAATAGGATATTGTATATGCAATCTTTACTACTGAACAACTTGCTTTATAAAATGACTGTTGTTGTTGTTAAGGGCTGTTGAGTCTGTTCCAACTCATAGCAACT